GATGATGATGATGATGATGATGATGATGATGATGATGATGATGATGATGATGCCAAGACCCAGCTCTCTGGAGAAGGCTCTAATGCTGGGAAAAGTGGAAGGAGAGAGAAGAGAAGAGCCAGCAGCAAGATGGAGGGGCTCAGTTACAGGGGCGATAGGGGTACCGTTGGAAGACCTGAAGGACCAGGTTAGGGACAGGTCATCATGGAGAAAATCTACCTATGTGGTTGTTAAGAGTCAACACTAATTTGATGGTACATATTGATGGTACATAATCAATCATAAATGTTGCACATATCATATTAAACTTGTGAAAAAGAAGAACTGATTCCCACAGTTCTGGAAGGACAAAAACTAGTTGTTAAATCCAAGGTCCCTCCTCTGCAGATGAAGGCTCCCAAGTAGAGACTAAACAAAAGTTTGAAAGAAACAGATTGGTGATTGGTGCTCTCTCCTGCCATTAAGCAGAATGACACCCATGTTCTGATGAACTATGTATGAACTGGCGTTCAGTCTGGATCTGAAGCTCCTTGCAGGTATGTGGAGGATACCAGTGCTGGATCAGAAGCACCTTTGTCCAGGTTGATCTGGCACCATGTACCCAGCTATGTCTATTCCAAAACAAACAAAAAAACCCACCACAAACCCACCTAGTTTCCTTAAATCATTTCCACAATTTTCATCTCACAGGGTTTCTAGGATTTATGTATTTATTTTTAACACATACTGCAACACGAAAGAAGTACCTTGGTTAATTGAAAACATCATTCTATTCACAAGCCCTTTAAGATTATGGTCTTCATAGGAAGCATACATTTTCAGAGATGTATTTTCCCAACCTTTTATTTACCCATGTAAATAGCATGTAAAATCTTTTCATTTACCACATTTATACCACACTTTTCTACCAATCAGCAATTCATAACCCAAGTTTATCTTTAAAGCAAGCTTGTGCAGTAGGATTGGTGAGAGGGCCTAGCCTAATCTCACTAAGGCTTGCATTGGAGCAGTGTTTCTCAACCTTGGTCACTTCCAGATGGGTGGACTTCAACTTCCAGAATTCCCCAGCCAGCCCTGCTGGCTGGGGAATTCTGGGAGCTGAAGTCCACGCATCTTCAAGTTGCCGACGTTGAGAAACACTGCCTTGGAGGGAAACTATACACTTCCCTAGATCCAGTCTAATATTTTAATATCGCATTTCTTGTAGTATCCCAGTTCATATACTTGACAAAACCAAGTTTGATCAATATACTCATTAGCTACCTGCCTCCTTCCATGGTTAGCTCCTTCTCAATTTCCCATTCATACATTTGCTTACAGCGTAGCTGAGTATCATCAAATATAGGTTGCTTTCCAGGGATCTCCAGCTTGTCCAGCAGCACAACTTAGATAAATATTTCAAGATCAATGACAGCATCACCCACACAGTTGCAAACCAGACTCTTTTCAACTGGTTTTTGGGGAGAGCAGAAACTGTTTTTTCCACCTTCTGGGTCTGGATAGCTGTCACAAGTCTGTGTTTGAAGTTAAGTCCAGTGTTAAACAATGGACTTGAACTAGAGCCTAGCCCTTGGATTTCTGGCAATATTACAATAGAAAATATTGTGTTGTTAGTACATATTATCAGAACTGAGGCAACATGTAAACCAAAATATGTCCCCTGGTAGTTCATATTGTTGGACTGAAGGCAATCTTCATCCAAAATGGAGTGTCAGTGGTCTGTTAATAATAGATGTCTTTAATAGGAGCTAATTAATTCTAAAGGAGCTGTAATTTAACACTTCAAAACATTTACTTCTGAGAGTAGGTGGATGAAAAGGATGCTGACCTGTTTCTCAAAGAGGACACTGAGTTCCAAATGTGTAACAAGGTGCCTCTTATGAAGTGAGAAGGCCATCCCTTTAGCCCTAGTGATGGGTTGATGTCCTGGTGGTTTGCCACATACATCCCAATTTTAAATGCTTTTCACAAGATTGTAATGTCTAGAAAAGTTGGGAGACAATATAAGAAAGGTGAGTCACTTGTTCTGCCATTTCTATGAATGTCTTGACTTTTGGAGAAGCAACGCAGAACTGAAAATTGTTTGGATGTTACTAGTAATTGCAGAGACTTTCAACAAACCTTCTGTTTGTTTGTTGCTCAAATACAAAACTGTGAAGTGATGGCAACTAGAATAAAATAAATGTCTCCTGCAGAACAGCTGGGAAGCAAAGCTATTCGTGCCAATATGCTGAATTTGAGTCTTCCAAAGCAACAGGTTCGGTTTGCTATTACCCCATGTCGGACTGGCAGAAATATTATTTACTGCTTTGGCCTTTTTCTTCTGTCGAACCAGCATTGCTGATGCTCATATTTTAAGCTCCTTGAGGCGATGAATGATCTTCTGATGACCCTCTTGTCAGGGGCTCTGCACACTGTCTATAAAGCCAGAAAAACTGCTTCCAAAACTCCTGAGTCCGTTTCCGGTGAGTTATTTTAAGAAGGATGTAGCTCGATGGGACCAGATCAAGTGGAGGGCAAAGGAGTTGGGATGAAGTATGGAAACAAGTCCTGTGAGGAATGGTTGAAAAAAATGGATATCTTGAGTTTGGAGAAAAAGAAGAGAGTGCAGATGGGAACAGATCGGATCACATTCTTCAAATCCCTGAAGAAGGCAAATGCTTGCTTTCTGTTTGCCCAGAAGGCAAGACTTAATTTAAGGAGTTTAAGTTACAGGAGAGAGCCAGTTTGGTATAGTGGTTGAATGTGCCAGGCTGGAAACTAGGAGACTGTGAGTTCTAGTCCTGCCTTAGGCAAGAAGACAGCTGGGTGACCCTAGGCTAGTCATTTTTGTTTTTAATAGCTGGGGGCCATAATATACACCTAATTTTGTTGAGTATGGGCCATTCTGTCTGGGATAATGATGCAAGGCGGATGACACCATATTATACCCTGGCAGAGTCAGAATGTTCTTATTTTTCTGAGTTTTGGGGAAGGAGTGAAGCACTTTTTCCCAGATTTTTTTTCTCTCTTGAATGGTGGTAAATCTTATGCTCATGCAAGCATTTGGTGAATTCCCTGCTTCAGTTGGCAGGGAACTGGGGTACCAATTTTTGACTGTGTGGAGGTCATGCTGCTGCATGTCCAGACCAAACAGTGCAAATGCACTCTGCAGAGGCAGAGCAGAGGCAAGTCCAGAGCAATTCTGCATGGAGAAATGACTGCTCTGTGGGTAGATAATTTTGCCGCGATTCCTTGCTCTTGGAAGGAGACAAAAATTTGGCCTACGAGTGAGACATAATTCAGAGAAGCAACAGCGGGGGTGAGGTTTTTATCTATTTATTGTTTGGAGGGTGAATTTGGAGACTGCTGTTCCTTAATGTATTCCATCTGGCCCACTAGCTACGTCTCACGGCACAAACAGCTTGAAAAATCACTGAATTAGTAGAGAAGCCCCTTATGCTTCTGGGTATACATGGTTCAAAGTTATCCATTGAATGGACAGGCTGCAGCAGCTTAAAGCAGATACTCTGAGTGCAGAAAACCCCAGATTCAAAGCTTGGCGCCTGCAGTTAAAGGGATCTTATGCAGCATTAAAAGAGAAGGTTTTTCTCTGGGTTATTACTATGGGATTTCAAATAGAAAAGAACAAATAAAGTTGCTGTCTTCTGCTAGCCTTGCCTCCGAGGGAACAACTAAGAATATTTATATATTTATTTATTCATCCAATTTCTAAGCTGCCTGACTCCCATACAAATGTATATATTCTTATCCTTTCACTGTATGTTTGTGTGTACAGACACGCACACAGAGAGCAAGAGGATATTAAAGAACACAGATTTCTCTGTAGAATAAGACAAACTGCTCTTCACATAGCTACCTGCCACTAGTGCCTTCCTCAATCTGGTTCTCTCCAAAAAGTTTGGATTAAAGCTCCCATCATCCGTGGCTGAAGATGACAAGGGCAGGAATCCCATACAAACAGAGCGTGCCAGGTTGCAGAAGATGTCACCACAGCACTTTCTCATAATTTCAGCTAGCCTTTGGCGCTCCTTCATCTGAATTGCTCTCTCATGGCCTTGGATGGTCATTATTATAATTTGGTCTATCAGCAGGGACGATAGACTTGATACCCCTTGAATAGCCGACAAGAGCAACGCGCTGGCGTTCTGTAAGGTTAAGTCTTGCAGCCGGAACCGTTAAGTATCACGACCGGGGCAACAGGACTCTCGTTCTGGAAGCTGTCGAGCTTCTCCACCATGGCTAAAGGGGTTATGGTCATCGCTTCTTCCCCACCAGTCTCCGGCTTCTTCTCCTTGTAAACGTTCCCTTGGAGAATGAGGTCACTTTCCGCTGTGGGAGTTGCGCTGTCCTCTTTGGCAGCATCCTGATGGCGCTCATTTCTGCATCCCTCGTGGTGGCTGTGGTTGCCGAGACGGCTGGATGCCACCACTGCTTTCACCGCAGCCTGTGTGTGTTACACATGGCAAAGAGTGACATTGGTTTGAATGTACATATTTATTATTATTATAATGGAGCCCTTGAGGGGGATATTGTTGGTAGTAACTGTAATTGTCCTTGGCTGGCACGGTTTATGTATATTTATTTTTATTTGTAGTTATTGGTTGTTTTTAGTGAGTTTTAATTCTATGTTAGCCACCCAGAGTTGCCCCATGAGATGGATGGCATACAGGCAGTCCTTGTTTAATGTCCACTTGTTCAGTGACTGTTCAAAATTATGACAGCGCTGAATGAGGGGTACTTGCAACAGGTCCTCATAGTTGTGGATGTCACAGCATCCCCGCAGTCCCATAATCGCAATTTGGGCACTCAGCAACCAGTTTGCAATTATGACATTGCAGCATCCCATGGTCACATGACCGCCATTTGTAACCTTCCCTGTTGGCTTCTGACAAGCAAAGTCAATGGGGAAGCTAGCAGGAGGTTGCAAATGGCAATCACATAACTGTGGAATTCTGTGACTGTGTGGGATTCTCCTAATGAGGGCAACTGGGACTGCCAAAACTGCCATTGAAAGTCGGTGCGGTCATATGACATAGCACCTTATGACCGTGTTGCTTAGCAGTGGAGTTCCCGGTCCCAGTTACTGTTGTTAAGTGAGAACTATTGTATGTATGTATGTATGTATGTATTTATTTATCTGTATACATTTATTTTAATTAATTAAATTAATTCTCAGCAGCACCATGTTCTCCAATACCAAACCCAGGTGACTGAGTGCTGATGGAACAAAAATCTTGGACAGTGAACTAATATGAGTGCCTGGATCACAGTTGCAAACATCTCCCCAGGGATTATAAGACCTCAAGTGCAAGAGAGCCCACCCACCAAAGCCAGTCATTGGCCACAGGTGTTCATGTCATCCTGGAGTCCCCTTTTGCAGTCCCACAAGAATCACATGCTTGACATTTTCTGCTCAAGAGGGAAAATTCAGGCACCGTATTTATCCCAAAGAAAGTTATCCCTGGGTTTGAAATGACCCTCTGTCCAAAAGGGAACATTAGAGGAAGAAAATCATCGCTCTCTGTTACTGCATAAATCCTCCCATTTTAAGGGTATATTAATTGAGAAGAAGTAGGCTTCCTTTAGTGACTGCAGTAAAACAGAAACAAAGCCGAAACAGAAGTCTCCCCCTGCCCTAAAAGCCACTAAAAGACAATCCCGCTCATCTGTGATATCATGGTATGACCCTTCCCCTCTCCACATGGCCCTGGATGTGAAAATACACCTCTCCCCAAGAGGGCTGCTGCAAGGGGTGTCAAAAAATCAAAATGGCAGCCATGACCAATGATCAAAGCCACACCTTCTTTTTATGTGTGGGCAGGGCTTCAATTACCCAGTCGTAGCCGCCATACTGAATTTTGACCTGCCCCCTGCAAGGCATCTAGGCTAGGCTACTTTTGTGTGGCTTGCCTTGCACCCTGATTCTGAGCCTCTGGCCCTGAGCTCAGGCCCCTGGTTCTCATCCCCATTTGGGAGCCCAGATGGGAGAGCAAAGTCACCGAATCTTACCTTTAGCTTCCGCCTTGCATTGAACTCCTGCAATTTCTTCTGCGTACTGTCCATGTGTGCGAACTTAGCAGCTTTCCCAGTCACCCAAGGGTGCTCCAGGGCTTGATGAACCGTTAATCTTTTCTGGGGATCCAGAACAATCAGCTTTCGGACCTACAAGGGCCAGAGATGGGTTTAGTGTGACAATTCCAGTGTCATAAAGGATGCGAATGGGCCAATCAGGGGTGTCTGGCAGGGGGAGGATGTCAAAAAAGCCAAGAGAATGGCCCTGATTCTGCAATCAAAGCCTTATCTCTTAGTACATTGGGGCAATGGATTTCTAGTAGGGAAAGGTCTTGGGGCTAGGAACACATTTGGCATTTGGAGAGCGTGTGATCAGTGCACTGACAGAATGGATCTACTAGGAGACTGTTCTCTTCACAAAAGAGGGCCATGGTGTGGGCCCAGCCAGCTGTGGAACCAGCCTCCCACTGCTCTCTCCCACTGCTCTCTCCCATCCCAGGGAGACCCAAGGTCATCTCTGCAGAAAAATGGAAGCTGAGCCCGGTACTTTCATTTGCAGTATAATGTTTGAGGGGCCATGGTGCCCGAGGAGCACGAGTGTAAGCCTTCATGCATGCCAGAACATGCAAGTGCAGACGTGGGCCATCCATCCATCTGGGCAGTGCTCAAAATACAATAACTCACCAGGTCCTTGGCATTGAGAGACACTTCATCCCACCAAGGAGAGACAAACTCATAGTCACAATTTAGGATTCGGCTGTACATGTATTGATCTCCTCTTGGGTCGAAGAAGGGCTCAAAGCCACACAGCCTGGAAAAAAAAGGAAGAATCAGAGGCCTATGACGGGATTGCTATGAAATAAGACAAATTTCTATGAATGCAAAGCACTCAAAGACCTTCTCCATTACTTGAATTAACCTTCAGCTAAATATTAATTAAAGATTCAGGTGAATGAATGTTTCTGAAGTTATACAGCAAGAGGACCCATACAGGTAGGTCGCAATTAGCACGTGTTTGAATAATGCGATGTTCGATTTAGTGCAAATTGTAGTTGTTATCAGGTCGTGTTTAATGCAGCCCAAAATTCAGCTAATGTGAGACATGTGCAATTGAAGCTAGTGCATGAGCAGTTGCAGTTGGGATTTTAGATGCTGCTAATCTTCATGTGTGCAAAATGGAGGAAAGGAAAATTCCGTCAGAGGAAAACAGTACAAGTTTAATACTGTAACTTTGTTAAAAATAAATTTAAGTGGTAAGTATATTCTTTTTATCTTTTACTATTATATTTCATTAATAAACATATAAAATTTAGGTTTAAACATTTTCATTGCCTATTTCTGTCGAGCTGGAACCAATTACCCTATTTTCCATAGAAATATCACTTTGAATAGTGCGAATTCGGATAATGCAACCATTTCATGGGATTCATTAACCGCACTAACTGAGACCTTCTCCACAAAGTGCTGGACTACCATTTCTGTAATCCCTACAATTTCCTACAATGTAATCCCTGATGATTGGTCATGCGAGCTCAGGATGATGGGAAGAGGAGTCCCAAACCTTGAATGGTGCAGCTTTTCCATCCTGCTTGCAGGAGAAAGCAGGCTTTCTAATTCAATTCTACTGCCTCTGCAAATTAGGCATAAAAAAGAAATAAAACCCCAGACCAGATGCCACTTTGCTAATGTTTATTTAGTAGAAAAGAGAGAGAGAAAAAGAGAGAGGCAGAGAAAAGTAAGATCTGTTTGCTATCATAATGTTTACCAAAAGGCTTAGGGCCCTATTACTTTAAACTTGGCTGGAGATTGTAAAAAAAAAAAAAAA